TATTATGTATAACATATATGAAGAATGAATATGACGAATATGAAGACTGATACAAAAACATTGTTGAATGCCTCAGTGGGCCTGATTTACTAAAGTGTAAAGTGAACAGAACAAAAAACATCCACGTCATTACAGAGGAGTTTGACAACAGAGCTTCTCTTGCTCATGTCTGAATGTTTTAAACAAACACAGGTTTACTTCATCATACTTAACTTTTTATTTTTAATAAAGCTTAAAGGCTTCTTTAAAACCGTAAAACAAATATGGTCCCAAGTCTTTATTTTACCCATATGCTCCCAGACAAGACATTCTTTGGGAAACTGCATTAGGGATTTAGCCAGCAAAATGCTGTAATAATGTGTGTTAATAAATTACATATCCATTAATAAACTTTCATGCAATTATAACCAAGGATCAATGTAATGATAAGCACTATACAGTTGTGACCAAAATTATTCAACCCCCAATGCTGTAAAGGGGTTTAGGGACTATAGTGTACATTTGGAATTGTATTCAGAATCAAATCCTACAAGGACGTTGTAACTACCCAAATGCAACTAAAATGACATCAATTGTTTATGTAATACATAGTAAATGGTTCTTATGTGGTTTCTTCATTGCCACAATTATTCAACCCCTTAAAGACTACCACTCTGAAGAACAGAGGTTCATACAGGTGCTTTCCATCAGGTATTGAAAACACCTGTGGATGTCACCGAGCAGCAATCAAGCATAATAAGCACCAATTAGGCAGCTTTAAAATGACTGTGATACTCAGCTCCTTCTAGACATTTACTGGTGTGGTTACAAACATGGTGAAGGCAAGAGAATGGTCCAGGAAGACAAGAGAAGAGGTGATTTCTCTTCACAGGAAGGGCAATGGCTATAAGAAGATTGCAAAGATGTTAAACATACCAAGAGACACCTTAGGAAGCATCATTCGCAAATTCAAGGCAAAGGGCACTGTTGAAACGCTACCTGGTCGTGGCAGAAAGAAGATGCTGACTTCGACTGCTGTGCGCTACCTGAAGCGTAGAGTGGAGAGAAGTCCCCGTGTGACTGCTGAGGAACTGAGAAAAGATTTGTCAGATGTGGGTACAGAAGTTTCAGCCCAGACAATAAGACGCACACTGCGTAATGAAGGCCTCCGTGCCAGAACTCCCAGGCGTACCCCCTTGCTGTCTCCAAAGAATAAGAAGAGTCGACTGCAGTATGCCAAAAGCCATGTGGACAAACCACAAAAGTTGTGGGATAGTGTTCTGTGGACTGATGAAACAAAATTAGAACTGTTTGGGCCCATGGATCAACGCTATGTTTGGAGGAGGAAGAACAAGGCCTATGATGAAAAGAACACCTTGCCTACTGTGAAGCATGGTGGAGGGTCAATCATGCTTTGGGGCTGTTTTGCTTCTGCAGGTACAGGGAAGCTTCAGCGTGTGCAAGGTACCATGAATTCTCTTCAGTACCAGGAGATATTGGATGGAAACGTGATGCAGTCCGTCACACACCTGAGGCTTGGGAGACGTTGGACCTTTCAACAGGACAATGATCCCAAGCATACCTCCAAGTCCACTAGAGCATGGTTCAGAGGAAAGGCTGGAACATTTTGGAGTGGCCATCGCAGTCACCAGACTTAAATCCGATTGAGAACCTCTGGTGGGACTTAAAGAAAGCAGTTGCAGTGCGCAAGCCTAAGAATGTGACTGAACTGGAGGCCTTTGCCCATGAAGAATGGGCGAAGATACCCGTAGATCGCTGCAAGACACTTGTGTCAAGCTATGCTTCACGTTTAAAAGCTGTTATAACTGTAAAAGGATGCTGTACTAAGTACTAAGATTGAATGTCACTTGGGGGTTGAATAAAACTGATAATGCTGTGAGCACAGAAAAGACATTTGTGGTTATTTCATTATAACTGTTATGTTATATTTGTCTGACCTACAAGTGCCTCTTTAATGTAAATGTAAGCAAGATGACTGAATGATCAAAAGCAATGTCAAACTGGCCAAAACACTCAATTTCAGTGGGGGTTGAATAATTTTGGTCACAACTGTATATTTAAAAATGATTAAGCAATATATACAAGACATTATGTAATACATTGCCTTCCACATCTTTCTGAGTCAGTACATGTAGGTAATGAGCCATATCAAACATGTATAGTCTGTGTGTAATACAGTACAGCAAATCAAAAGTACACATCATCACGGTGGTCCTAAGCTCACATGTATCAATATGTCATATTATGAACTGTCTGTATTGCCACAAGGGTAACAATTAAACCCAAACCTGCTATGTAACATTACAATATCTAAAAGTTACAATTTGCTTAGCAGTAGTGAGCCAAATCAGAAAGTTTTTAATTCTATTGTTTTCACACAATATGATAAAGAATAATTAATTATGGAAAATAAACAAATATAAAGCTTTTGATAATTTTTTTGTTTTCAATTTATCTGTGGAATGGCTATACCATCTGGCTTTTTTGAATTGTAAGATAAAGCAATTTACATTTTTGTTGAATAACATGAATTACAACATACACACTTGTAAAACGTTTGTGATGCAATGACCAAAAAAGGCATAATAAAATGTGGCTAGAAAACAGAAAACAGAAAACAATACTATCGCACTAAATAATACATTTAGCACTGATCATTATACTGATGTGTTACAGAAACACTAACAAATACAATTTTATTTCTCCTTTACTGTTAGATCCTTTAGAAGATGTGCAAAATACAAATCACCCAAAGGCACTCAATAGTCATTAAAACAAGTGTAACTCTGCCTAAAGATCTTCACTAAAATCCTTTCCACCCGATTAATATTCCTCCTGCAATCCATCATTCATTCAGATCAAGTTGGATTTATGCAATCTATGGAGGTCAAAGATAGCCCTACAAGTGTCCTTGATGCAATCCACCTTGCCCATGCCCACAAGATCCCCATGTGCCTGCTTTCAACAAAAGCTTAAAAAAGGAAAGAGCAGACTGGCACTTTTTGGAGGCCACTCTCAGCTATATTGGGGGTGTGAGATCATCTGTATAAATGGCTGGAAGCCATCTATTCAACTCCTACTGCCATAGTTAAAGCCATTGCATCCATTTCCTCTTATTTCCCCTTGACTAATAGAACAAGACAGGGCTGTACTCTATCACAACTTATCGTCATCTTGACTTTATAACCCCTTTTGAGACATATACACCAAAAGATGAATATCACAGGTCTTCTAGTTCAGGCTATGCAACAGAAGTAAGAAGTACTAACCACATTTCCTACTTATGGACTAAAATCATTCTGACTATTGACAAAACCTCTGAGGCAAACTTCATCTCTCTTTTTGTTGTTGATTGAACTAGATGGACTTTTGGTTGCACTAGATGGACTTTTTGGTTGAACTGGATGGACTTGTGTCTTTTCTCAACCAGACTGACTATGTGACTATGTGATTTCAGATTATCAAAAAGGACCCTTCGTGCTGGCATGAAAATACATATACCTGGCTAGGGATAAATGCAGTACTTAAAATGAAAGAATGTCCAAGGAGCTTTATCTCTTTCAAACCCTTCCAATCTTGATACTTCCAATCTTCACCCTTCCTGAAAGCAATGCAAAAAGAAATTTTGCAGTTTATCTGAACCCAAGCCTATCCAAAAATGTCATATGACTATTTTACAATGCCTAAAATAAAGGGAGAAATGGCCCTCTGAAATACTACCAAGCAACTCATCGTTCTAGTGTGTTAGTTTGGTTTAGACACTTTGATCATAAACAGTGGATCGTCTTGGAACCCTTAACTAGGTAAGGATAAAACATACTAAACTCTTAGGATTGTTACAACAATCAGCCCAACACTCTTTCTTCTGACAATGGGAACCCAGACACCGGTCACTGAGCACACTGTCACATTATTGACCCCCCATCGTAGGTAACCTATATTTTATTTGATCTAAAGGACAGACAATTTCTTCAATTCTCCAATGACAATACTTTCAGACTTAAAGATTTGTTGAGTGGCATGTGCCTCAAGAATACAGCAAATATTTAGTCCATGCTACACCCCTGTTTGGTCAATTGCAGACTCCAGAAAATCTTCATTTTCTCTCTACTACTCTTAATCAGGGTGTGCCACATAAGTAATTGACACCATTTGTAGCATCTATAGTCAGGGCTATCTCACCACCCAGGCTCATTATCATATAAACAGCTTATAAAAATATTTCATTGCTTTACACCCCCCTTCTGGGAAAAAGACCTAGGGGGTTTGTTCGCTTCTTCACAAAGAGATGACATATTACATTTTGTTTACTAGTCTTCCATGCTTAGTAAATACTAAGAATCAGGCCATGAGATTTTGACACGTGGTACAAAGTGCCAATAGTCCTACAAAAGATATACTCTCAGACCTATCATGTGTGTTATAGTATGGATGTACAGAAGGTACACATCTATACATTTTCTGGTCATGTGGTAAAATTAGAGGCTTCTGGACATGAGTAGAGTGATTATTACACTACTGACCAATCTTAACTTAGATGATGATCCAGAAGTTTATTTACTTCAAATAAACTAATAAGTAGAAATGAACCACTAAGTTCCTCCCACTTTGTAGCCATCCCAAATAAGGGGATAATGGTGGAGGAGTCATCAGTACTAAGTAGAAACTCCAAGACACATATAAATCAATGGGTATGACTTTTATCCCCTATGGATCAATGGAAATAAGCATATATTAGCAGAAAGTGATTCATAAAAGGACCAACAATTAAGCTTTCATATGGTATGTTCTCTAATATGTTAGAGATCATGCTGAAATGTCGCTTGCAAGCATGATCCACCATACACCATGAAAAAAACAACTGACGCCATACATGTGTATTTTATATGTCGCTTCCAAGTATGCATCCAAACCTCTCACATGTTCAATGCATGATGCCATGTATTGTTCATATTCCAATCAGTTAGTCATTTTGAGCACATATGCAAATGCTAGAGTCAGGGGCGGACTGACCATTTGGAAACTCGGGCACTGCCCGAGGGCCCGGGGTCAGTAGGGGGCCCCATGAGATGCCCCTGGTACCTTTTTTTCATAGGCTTTTTTGAGTTTGGGCAAGGACACAGGGGTCCCATGATCCCTGATTGCCCGGGGCCCCATGAGTTGTCAGTCCGCCCCTGGCTAGAGTTGATGATCTCCCAAGAGAAATTACTGCACCATCTATGTAAAGACACTGTAAAAGCTTAGGGGAATCTCCCATTAAATAATGTAATCCGCTTTGTGGAATCAATAATATAGGATCACAGTCAAAACATTACTATGAACTCATCTGAGTGTCACGCTTCTCTCCTGCTAATCCTGACATACCCCTTTAAACTGGGTATGAAGAGTTGGCAGAATTATTTGAGCACCCCATTTCTATTTGGGCACCAGCAATGTGATTCGTGTTGAACATAAATTCCACCATAATGTTTGGAATTGGATCAGAATGTTCACGTCCAAATGAGTTTGTAATCAGTGAATTTTGCACCAGACCAAACACCTCATATTGCGTTAATATGAATAATTATCAGGCAGACAATATAGACAATGAGACTGATTTACTGAAGGAGTTAAGAATGTAGACACAAAGAAAAAAGTAAAGCTTTGTTTTAATCCATGTGAAAAGCAAATTCTTGTTTATTTCATCTGCTCATGATGAATCTTCACTTCTTGTTATGTCAGTGCTGAAATGCTTGGTCTAAACTGTATCTCAAAATGATAAAACTATGTTCATTGGCTAGCCTTCTGCGCTACACTGATGCCCTTTTCTTCTTTGGGGGCCCATGTACACACGAAAATATCCTAAAAAGTTGGACATGCAACTTTTTTGGAATGTAGCACACCACAACCACAGTAGTGTGTTGTTATGCACTCCTATTGAAACCTAACAGTGTGAATGGGCCCAAAAACAACAGCAAGCCATTCTTTGGCTTTCTCCAAAACTTTGCAGCATAGGAGTTTAAAACAGAGAACTGAACAGAAGCAAACACCTCTGGTTATGTAAAGTGAAAGAACAATTAAAAAGAGCAGGGCATCAGTTAAGCACAGAAAGAAATCCCAAGGGCTTTGGCTGATTAAATGATAGACTTTGTTGAGTGAAGAGTTTACCAAAGGTAAAAATGCAAAATAAAGTAAGAGGTCAAGGCTGGGGGTAAGAACAGACCCAGGGAGACTTAGCAAAGCTGACCTCTAAAATCATGGTGATGCCCTGCTCCCAACCACCCACTATCCAATCAGAGATCACAGCAGCCCCCAAAGGCTCTCTAAGTGGATAGTGGGGTGGCAGTGACAGACAGATGTTGGGTGACAATTACCCTAGTTTCTGTAAATTTAAAGTACAAGCAAGCAGGTGACACAGGTAGTTAAAGTAATAGTAAACACACGCTGTTTAACTTACATTGTCCCTTCTATTTCTGTTTGTGGATGATGACACTGTCATTATTTTAATTAAAAGAAAATCAAAGTACCTTTTTTCTAATCAATATACAGATGTCACATGACCCAGTTCTTTCCCAGCCTGTCCACAGGGAAACATAAACAGGAGGAGCTTCTAGTCCTCTGCTGCGGGTCTTATGGTGGAAATAAAAAAAAACAGTCTTTGGGATACAGAGTAAAAATAAATAATTAATATCAATAAACTATTTTAAATTGCCATACAAATATGTATTTGAAATCAAATCATTATTATTTTTTTAGCAATAACAATGCGGGGGATTTCTTCCAGTCACAGGCAATGTCACTCCCCTCCAGCCTGTATCTTAGAATAAGAGGGTGGTAAAGCCTCCATCAATCTACATGAAATATCCCACCCCCATTGTGTTTAGCTGGGCTGTCATTTACCAGTGTGTATACACCCATATGTGTGACTTCATAGTCACATGGGCTGCTCAGATGTTATAGGGAGTAAAATGCTCAGCATAGAATCTCACTGAAAACTGAGCATGTGCAGAGCTGCCAACACTGCTCTGCAAAATCCCCAGCTGAATAGGGGACATGGACAGAAGGTGGAAATACGAAGACAGTAGAAGACAGTAGAATCAACCAGTTTTGAGGAATACAAAAAACGAACCCCATAGTGACTGAGTGAGTATGAACAGCATGGAATACAGCATTTATTGATAGTTTTTTATGATGTGTATTTAGTGAAACTTTAACACAGAATATAGTGGTGTCAGTTGATGGGCTTTACAGTACAGTTGTGAAGCATGATTCACAGTCTAAATGATAAAAATTACAAGTCTTTTGTCAGCTAAAATAGTTCATTTATACGTATTGAACTGAATGAAGTATTTATCTTTTGGCTGAAGTTCCACATTAACTTAATCATTCCACTTAAAGGTAAATACTAATCTCATGGACCATATGATCTTCTGTTATACAGAAACTCAACAATCTAGCCTGGAGTTTATTTATTTAAAACTAATAAACCTTTTGTGCATTTAACACATGACAGTGACGTCATGTAATATCTAAAATGAATGTTACGCTCTATTTAAAACTGTTTACTATTCCTGCCAAGCATGATCTAAGGATAGGCATACATGCTCTGTCTGGCCCCTGGATAAAGCTCCATGATGTTGAACGTGATGGAACATGCTTTTTTATTTCAGAAGTGATAAAAAAGAAAGAAGATTTAAGTCCAATGATTATGCTCTGTCAATGCTCCTTAAATTTACTTTCTACATAGATGGCAACAAAAAGAAATCAAACAAATCTATTATTAAAACCCAGCTCTAGTCAAAACAGTTTATTTTGTTTTGGGCAGAGCAGGAAGGGTTAAAGCCTCTGTCAGGCTTTCAGTGCCACCTGTGTTGGTGATGATGAATGTCAGGAAAGAAATGGTGGGAAATCTCATTAACGAGGTCACAGGCAAAAAAAAAAAAATAGTAGCTTGGGGCAAGGGCTAATTGCTCAATAATTTTATTCTTGTGTATTTTTTGTACTTATATGTGTTCACTGAGGCTGTATATGTGTGTTATGCATTCATGTTTCTTGGTTGGCATTACTGCAAATTGATTTCTATTACTGCTGTTCTGATCTCTGCAAATCTGCAGTTAGACGAGGCATACTCTGATGAGCCCAGGGCAAACACCTCATGAGCAGGCTGCCATTCAATATATTTATTTCCAAAACACATAAAGTAATAATGATACCAGATATAGAAACAATAAAAATATAGTTATGAGCTTTATGGAGCTACAAGTTCCAGCATACATACATTGGTGTATCGCTTTCTCTACCATGGGGCACTGGACAAGAAGTCAAGAAAAGCAAGGATTTGAACTTTCATATAGTGGTCCACTGTTTTTTTAAACAGTATTATATATGTATCACCCTCTTGATAGGTTGCTAAGTGCTAGAAAATATTAGTTTTTGACTGGATAGTAGTTAACCCAGTTTTAATTAGTATAATTGTATACTTGGTTCGTCCCTAAGTTCAGTGGGGTTGTGGTTTCTCAGTGTTGTCAGTAGGTGTCACTGGTACCAATGGCTATAGTATGAAGCTTCCCTGTCAGGCTAAGTTATTCATCTTTCCCCCAGCCATCCCAGTAGGAGGTTCAGGCATCTTGTGCATGATAGGGGGGGGTGTATAAATATTTGCTCTGACCTATATTGATGCTCATCCTAGTCCTAGTTGTGTTAGAGCCAGGTGGCCCATACCTGCAACTAAAGATTTGCTCTGACCTATATTGATGCTCATCCCCTAGTTGTTGTGTTAGGCCAGGTGGCCCATACCTGCAACTAAAGAGATACCCTTGGGACTTCACCCTTGAGGATCCAATCTACTAACATTTCATTAGAAGGCAACAGGAAGCTAAGTCTGGGCAGCTATTCAGTGGCCTTGTGAGTAACAGACTGTTTGCTGATCTGGGTGGCATTTAGTGTGTTAAGGACATAACAGCCTAAGTAGCTTTACAGGGCATAGCTCTCACTGTGTCCCTGATTTAGCCATTCCTTCCATGCTCAAAGGTAAAGAAGTGCTATTTACAGGACAATGAAATTAGTCTCCTCTTGTTTGGAGTTAGCATTGGAGTATCACATACTCTACACCCCTTTCCATTTACAAGTTTTCTCAGCATTAATAACTAAAAAGACATTCCCTAGGCTGGGTTCTGGGTCAGTGTGCATGGAGTAGTTATCGTGTGTGTGCTGGAAGCCTCTGCATAATCATGGTCATGACCATGACCATAACCGTAGTCATCATCATAATTTTTACTGCTGTTATCAGGTGGTGCTGTGACTGTGCTTTTATTACATTCCATCATTACCAATCAGCAGCCCTTTCGGGGATAACGCTAGATATAGCTTTTATAGAATATATACGTATATATTGGTAGTGATTTACTAATATAGATGTAAGTGGTTATCATGTACTCTATATTAATATACAGTGGGGATCGAAAGTTTGGGCACCCCAGCTAAATATTTGTATTAATGTGCATAAAGAAGCCAAGGAAAGATGGAAAAATCTCCAAAAGGCATCAAATACAGATTAGACATTCTTATAATATGTCAACAAAAGTTAGATTTTATTTCCATCATTTACACTTTCAAAATAACAGAAAACAAAAAAATGGCGTCTGCAAAAGTTTGGGCACCCTGCAGAGTTAATATCTTGTACTGCCCCCTTTGGCAAGTATCACAGCTTGTAAACACTTTTTGTAGCCAGCCAAGAGTCTTTCAATTCTTGTTTGCGGTATCTTTGTCCATTCTTCCTTACAAAAGTCTTCCAGTTCTTTGAGATTTCTGGGCTGTCTGTCACGCACTGCTCTTTTAAGGTCTATCCATAGATTTTCAATTATGTTGAGGTCAGGAGATTGTGAAGGCCATGGCAAAACCTTCAGTTTACGCCTCTTGATGTAATCCCCCGTGGATTTCGAGGTGTGTTTAGGATCATTATCCATTTGTAGAAGCCATCCTCTCTTTAACTTCAGCTTTTTCACAGATGGCATCAAGTTACCATCCAAAATTTGCTGAAATTTTATTGAATCCATTTTTCCTTCTACTCATGAGATGTTCCCTGTGCCACTGGCTGCAACACAACCCCAAAGCATGATTGATCCAATCCCATGCTTAACAGTTGGACAGAGGTTCTTTTCATTAAATTTCTGTGCCCCTTCTTCTCCAAACGTACCTTTGCTCATTCCGGCCAAAAAGTTAAATTTTAACCTCATCGG